TGTTCACACGTACAAACCACAATCTCCTGTAAAATACCGTGGCTACTCCTGAACAATAACCAGCTACACTTCACACACAAAAGGGAAGGCCTCTCTTTCATCTTGGAAACCATCTGGAAGTTGTGAAATTACAGCTGAGCGGGCTTCACGGGCAGAGCAGTGACCACGCCCTGCCCCACTTCAGCTCCACAGGTAGCAGATCTGTGTGGCTAGAGCCTCGCTGAGCAGCAGACCCACAGGTCACCAGGAGACAGCAGTGTGCATTCGAATTTCCATTCCTCTCCAGTTAGTTCTTCCGCCCTGAGGTCCTGAGGGCTTACTGGGCTTGGCACCCCCGACGCCTCCGTGGCGTTCTCTGCCACTTCAGCGCTTTTCCTTGTGGCGTTCCACACACACGTCTTTGTTGTGTTATTGGACTTTAACCTTGAAACAGCAAGGCCCAGGGTGGGCTTTTACACCGAGTAGGTGCTCATTAAATGAGCTGAATCAAACGTTAATAGTTTCTAAAAGTCGCTTTCTGGAAAATACTTTCAAATAAGTATGTCCCGTTTTCTATACATACACTATGCTTCAGCCAAAAGGACTGAGTGTGAGCACATGTCACAGGGAGAGGTGAGTGCAGGAAGTGCAGCCGAGTGCGGGTGTGGGGAGCACAGAAAGGCGCGGCAGGACCGCTGGGTCCAGTGATAACGTGCAGTGCGTGTTGCCGACGCGTGTTCGGGAGCATCCCGCAGACACCGGTCCGGCCTCTGACAGCCATAAGCTTGTTTCCCTGGCATGTGAGCGGTCTGCAGCTCTGCCCCCTGCCCTGCTGCCGGGCACACCTGGGCACTTGGGATCGTGTTCTCGAGGCCAAGTACTGAAGTGTTTTCTTCACGCACACAGATCGGATCGAAATCCGCGTGGCTCATCCAGGGAGCGCGTGTGGTGACTTGGTGAGATGGGACCTGAGCCCTCGCCGCAGCAGGGCCTTCCACCCGGGGTCCTCTGCAGGTGAGCAGGGCAGTCAGTCCTGTCTTCACCGCAGCTTCCAGCCTGGCATGGGCTGTGCTGGCCTGTGCGCTCTTACCGAGCTGTCCACTCCCCGGTGGCAAAGATGAGAGAGAACTCCACCGATTAGCTGAGTGCAGACATTAGAGAGCAGGTGAGACCGCCATGCAAGGTGTTTCAGAAAAGCTGTCCCCCCGCCTCGGGCTGCGGAAGA